TTGTGGGTGCAGGAATTGAAATATGTCCACAAGCAAACATATGTACTGATCCACTAGCAAAGTTTTTGCCTCTTGTCCCTGAAATCTTATTCTCTGCTAATGTAAAGTCTTGGTCCCAAAGAGAGGAATACTCTTAACCAGGAGAAATAAGAATTATTCTACTGACCTGGAAACTAAAACTATTACCCAGCCAATTTAGGCTTCTAATACCTCAATTTAACAAGCAAAGGAGATGTTAATAGTGATGATTAATGTCCAAAAAAATTGCCCTATTGTCCACAAAGGATGTGAGGAAGAGTACAACTAGAATACAAGAAGTTCCTTAAGGCATATTTTAGAGTTATCATGCCCTATGTTTAAAGGAAAACTATAAAAACTCAATTCAATCAAGATTAATGCCTTAGAGCCTTCAAGAAGATAGGTTTATATCACTTCATCAGGTAAAAAAATGACCAAATAAAGCACTTGTTGAGGGCAAATGTAATATGGAATAAGTGGTGGAATGAGGTTACAAACATCAGCCATGTCTACCTGATTAATTACAGAAAGGTAGACAATTGTTATATATTTCTCAATTTATTATGAATATTTGTATGTATGCCCACTTACACACATTATATATGCATTCAAAAATGTCTTCTTTCCTGTTTTATCATCTTATTATATAAGATTGAATTAAATTATAGTATCAAAGTACTGTAACTTTATCGTGTGGTATTTAAGTCAAGATATCAAAGCATGGATATCCAAAGACTTTGCATCCTTGTGTGAGGAAAAGGTTAGTGGATTTTCAGTTGCACACAGGACATTTGTATCGTGACAGGCAGAAGTGTGATCTTGTTATTACTTTTATCTGTAGATTAAGTATGGTTTGTGGAGATGCATGTGGGTCCCAACTTGACAAGAGGTGGACTGTGATAGTTAATTTTACATAACAACTTGGGTAGGCTGAAGTATGCAACTTGTTGTCAAACACTAGTCTAAATGTTGTGAGGGTCATGTTTTAGATATGATTGATATGTAAAAGAGTAGAATTTAATTAAAGCAAATTATCTTCCATGATGTGCTTTCCAATCAATTGAAAACCTTATAAAAAGGCCAAAATCCACTGTGGAAGAAAAAATTTTGCCTCCAGGCTTGAGCGAGTCAGGACCACTATTCTGGATCTCTAGTCTGCCAGCCTGCCTTGTTCACTTCAAACTTGGAAGATTTCACCATGGTATGAGGCACCTCTCTCCTTCTCCCTCCCACCCACACATGCACCTGTCATTCTGTCTCTCTGCAGAACCTCATGCAGTACTTAAATTTTCTATGCCTCCAGTGCGCTTCTGTGAGGTAAACACAGCAGTGATACAGTCTTTGTGGGAAGTATATGAGTTAATCATACAAAGTGTTTTAGAAGGAGAGAAACAGTAAATAAATATGCACTGTTATATTCATATAAATCAGTCCATATTTTAGGTATCTTTATAAAACACCTCAATTTTCTTTTAGAATATTATTTCAATAACTGTTCATGGAACTCTTCAAAGCACATTATAGATATCAACTGCCCTCTACTAAAAAGTAGGATCTTGAAGTCAAAATTTTATTTTATTCGTATCCCCAGAATAAAGAATATGATTAGCAAAGAGCAGAGACTTTAATTTTTTTGAGTGAACAAATGAGTGAATGAAAAAATTCTGTCTTATGGAAGATATAAAACTCAACTGGATCTTAACTCATGTCACAGTAGTCTAATCATTTCTCAATGTAAGTCTCTGATGGCTAAATTTTGGTAATTCTAAATAAAAGAATAACTGAAATGTAATCATTCTAGTAATGAATCACTTACTATGTGATTCATAACACCCTTATTGTTCTTTAGCTAACATCTTTTAGCTGCAATTTCCCAACATGGTCTTAATCATAACTCAAAAGGATCAATTCACTTTCCAAAGCCAGGTACTACAGTGTAACTTGTCTGCAGGCTAAAGGTGTTAAAGAGGTATGGGATGTACTTGAAAAGAATGAGTAGCTGTTACGACTTCATTGATTTATCAAAACCAAGAAGCCAACACCCAGGAACCCTCACTCTGTCATACTTTGTTATACTAATGGTTATGAAACTAGGTTGGTGACCACTGGACTTATTACAACTGGGTCACCTATTCTTGGAGTTTGCCTTGTCTGCCAATTTTAGCATATTTGCTGAGCTGTTGTAAATAGAAGGCAAGCACTATTTCTAGAACAATCAGCACTGTACTTCCATGAGCTAATTGGAGTCAATTGCTGAGATTTCAACAGAAACAGTCTTTTAATTATCATTATGATAAATAATAATAATGACAAGTAATTTTCTAAGCAACAAGGGTGAAATCACTCAACATTTGAAATTGGCACGTGCTTAGTCAGGATGATAGACTCAACTATTTAGCTCTTTGGGTATCTAGCAGTTCTCCTGTCATGTTGAAGATATGAACTTGAGGATTTTGAAAATTTGATTCATAATAAGCAACAGAGTCCCAGAGTTCCGGAAGGTCAGGGTCAATGAATGCAATCTACATTTAATCTTTTTAGACGAGCTGAACGTGCATAGACATGGAAATATGTCCAAAATATATTGCCAAGTTGAGAACAATAAACTACAAGATGGTATGTATGTTAATTTTATGTAAATATAACCACAAAAATAAAAAATAAGAAATACATTTTCTGGAAAGACATGTATTCTAGAAAATAAGTAGATGATACATATTCTGGAAAAAAACCAGAATAACATACAATAACATATGCAGAAATGATTTTGGAGAGAATGTGGTTATATAGCAAATACAGAAGTAACCAGGATTATTTCCCTTCCATATACCTCTGCTGCTTGCAATAAGATTTTTAAATTATCCTCCACCAAGATGTGGGATTCATTTCTCCTCTCCTTGGATTTGTACTAGCCTCATGACCTGTTTTGGCCAACAGAAGCAGCAGTAGTGAAGGCATACCACTTACAAACCAAGGTTTTAAAAGATGACAGCTTCTTCTCCTGGGGTCCTGCTCAGTATTATTAGTACAAGTCTTGAGTTAATCTACTGGATAATTTTAAAAGGCACAGTTTGAACATCCCCATGGGCACCTGGCAGCTAGCACCAACAGATTCACAATTGAGGCATCCAAAATCAGTCAGCCCTTAGCAACACACCAGTAGACCACAGGCAAATAAACTACCTCAAGCAGGATCTGCTAAGCCTGAGCCATAGCCACAGACTACCCAATATTTAAACTCATGAGAAGTGATAAGCACTCACTGCTCCAAGCCTCTGGATTTGAGCATGGTTTGTTATGCAGTAATAGATAACTGATAGATGTAGACATAACCTGATAATCCTTTTCCACAATAACTGTACAATAAGCATATGTCTCTTTTGAAAGCAAAAAGTAAAACAAAGGCTTTTAAAAATCTAGTACTTTAAAGAAAATCAACCTGAGGTGCAGGAGAATATGGCCCAACTGATTAGAAAACTGGCTGCATGTGACAAAATCTAACTAGAAGTTTAAGCAAATTAGTTAATTGACATGAGTCTATTTCACTCCTGATTGAATCTGGGCAATGGAATCATATTTGTCTGGAATTTGTTATGTTCTTCTTTTGTTTCTCTTCTCTTCTGATCTGGCTTCATTCTCAGACACATACTCATAACAGCGATAGAATGGTTATCAGCAGGTTTACCAAACTCCAATGTAAAGAATTCTCTGTTCCTAAAGATTCTAACGGTCTCTCTCCCAATGGTCCAGCTTGGATTCCACACTTCTCTGTCACTCACTTGCTGTTGCTCTGGCCTTACCTTCTCCTGATCTTATTCAGGGAATTGTACTGAATGAAGAAAATGAAAACATGGCTACTTATTGCCCTAATAAAGGGAAAGTAAGACTTCTGTAGAGGGAAAGAAAACCAGCTCACAACATCCAAGGACATACAAGCAGTACACAAGTTGAGACTGACCTTTGACTCATAGCAGAATTTCACAACTGCATAAGGTCTATTCATCTCTACCCTCACACTGCTCTCATGCGGCAGGAAGTCACAGGAAATAGGAAATGTTCTGCTGCTGTAACCTCATGACAAAATACTGTGCTCCACATATTAAAGTGAAGCGGCCATGGCCCACTATTGTGAAAAAAAAAATAGGCTATTTTATGGTTCCCGCTATCACCAGTCTGTTCTATAACTATAAACACGTAAGTTGGAAAAACAGACAGGCATGAAAAATAGGGGCTACAGCTTAATTATCAACTCACAAGCAGTCTATTTTACAAAGCTTCCCAGATAGAGTAACAAGGATGCTTTTTCACAGCAGAGGGGTAGCAACCTTTAGGACTTTCTCCTACAGTTTTGAAATATTTGCATATTACCACATATGGTACAATCTCTCAGCACAGACTCCTAACTTTAAAAAAAAAAAAAAGCCCCAAAGAGATAAAGCAACAGGCTCAAGTTCACTGTCAGATAAATGTATATCTACTCTGATCCTCCCAGGCTGGAAAGGATTCTGAGCCACAAAGGGAGACGCAGAGGCATTTTTCTTCCACATATTTCACATCATAGAGACAAAAGGGGTACATACTGGAGAGAATTTGATGTCACCATCTTAAAATAAAGTGGTCTCCTGTTGCAGCTCCTTTGCTCATTTATCATAGACTGCCTGTGGCATTTCTTCTTCTTTGGTTATTTTTAGCTGAAAGTTTAATCTTTGTGCATTTCTTCTCCTGTGTATTGTCTCCCAAAGAGCCACTGTATTGCACCACAGGGAGAGGGACTCTACCTTAGTCCGGTGAAGAACACAAGCCTACACCCATTGTGGCCTCTCCAATCACCTACCTGTACTCAGCGGGACTGAGGACCTTGATGGCAGGGCTCACTGTAGGAGAGGGTCAAGGTCAATGGTAATGTCTGCTATGGGCTTCACACGTGCCTTGGGAGTGACTGACCCCCCCGGCCAGCCAGGCCACTTGCTGTAATTGCAACATTAGCTCCACCCACTTCTTACATGGTCCCAGATTCTCATGTCCTCAGTGAAACATTGATCTGTATTCGGTGTCCATACCTTTAAGTAGCTAAGGATAAATGAAAAGTTAGGTCAGCATCTCTTGTACAGAGGAGTTCCTTACAAAATCAATTCATATTGCTTTCAACTAAAGCCATCGTGTATTCTGACTGTTAAATTTAGAAAATAAAGGGAAAATTACAATAGAAAAGATAAATAAAAATGAATATGATGTCATCATCCAGATATAACCACTGATAATATTTTTGGAGTGTTTACTGTCAGCCAATTTCTTTTTCTATTTAAGTTTTCACTTCCAAATTTTCTTCATGTCTATAAAAATTTGTTTTCTGTCATTTAGTAAGTGATAAAATGTTTGTTTTTCATCATTTAGCAGTGCATCTTGCACGTTTTGCATGCCATAACTCTTCCCCTAAATGTGTTTACTCTGAGTAAGATTCTTTGAGACAGATTTCCATATGTTGATTTTCAGTTTGAGAAGATATTGGTTATGAGGATGTAGGTAACTATTTACAGCTTTCCTAGTTATTCTCAATGAACTGTTACACTAAATGAAACATGTTCAGGGGCTCTGCTTTCAAACTAGAAAAACCCCCGACTTCACATCCACCACTAGTCTGCTTTGCCTATACTCTTGGAGAAATGAATGATCTTGTAAGAAGAGAAGAATTAGGTTAAATGCATCTTTCGCAATATGAACTGTAAGCAGGCACACTTGTCTGCTTTGCTGCAGTAAGAATGTACAGGGATGCTATCTGGTTTTCCGCTCCTCCTACAACTGCTTTCAGCAGCCCACAGCCTTAACCCTTGAAGAGAGCCCCTGATAGTGCAGAGAACACCACTAACCTGCCAGCCAGCAGGACTCTGCACTCTGGAAGGGAACATTCTGCCAGAGACTGCGGGAAGGAAGGCACAGGGAGGGGGAACAGCGCTGAGACCCAGACACTCCAGCAAGAGTTTTAGAATCCCCTTGGTTTTAAACAGAGGGGAAAATTTTAATTTTTCATAGACTTAAAAAGAAAAATTAAATCTATGTTAAAGTTATTAAATGTTGATCTGCATTGGCAGTTCCAAATTTAACTATGTATAATAATTATGGAGTGCCTGCTAAAAATTCAGATTTTCAGGCCTTACCACAGACTTACTAAATCAAAATCACAAATAAGATAGGAGGTAATCAAACAATATATATTTTTTAAAAATTTCCCACAGAATTCTTCTTTCTTTCATTAGGTTTATTGGTACAGTTAAAGTAAACAATACAATTGTATTAATCATTAGGACCTTTACACAACGTATCTTGGTTCTTATTTTTCCACATACCCTACCCTCCCTTTACCCTTCTTCCCTATTATTTCTACTTTTTCCTTTCTCATATTTTTTCTTTTCCCCTCTTACCTTTCTCCTACCCCTCCCACTTGTCTTTCTTCTTTAGAACTTTTCTTCCTATTATACAATATCAAATATACATTTTGATCCTTATTTACAGTTTTAGATTTTCACACCAGAGAAACTACTCAGTATTTACACAGGTGTGCTCTCTTAATTTCAGTTAAAGAGTACGACCTCAATGTGCATCCACTTTTTGGAGAATGAGCCATGTGCAGCTGAAAAAAATGTGTATTCTGATTTTGTGGGGTGGAACACTCTGTAGACAACTATTAAGTTCATTTATTCAATAGCTTGGTTCAGTTCTAGTATTTTGTTGTTGATTTTTGTCTAGGTGATCTATTTGTGACAGTGAGATATTGAGGCCCCTCACTATGATTGTATTAGTGCTTATTTGGTTTTTCATGTCCTTTAATATTTGTTTTGCATAGTTGGAGGCAGTAGCATTTGGTGCATATATATTTATGATTGTTATCTCTTCCTCTTGGATTGTTTCCTTTACAAGCATGTAGTGACCTTCTTTGACTCTCCTAATTAGTTTTGGTTTGAAATTTACTTTGTCTGCAAATAAGATAGCTATCCCCTGCTTTTTTCTGGGTTCCTTTCACATGGAGAACTCTTTTCCATCCTTTTACTGTCAGTCTATGACTTTCTTTCTAAACCAGGTTTCTTGAATACAGCATATTGTTGGATTTTGTTTCTTAATCCATTCTGCCAGTCTATTTCTTTTGATCAATGAATCAAGGCCATTAACAATGATGGTTATAATAGATATAAAATGACTTATCATTGTCATTATGTTATTTTCCTGTTGTTGGCTCTTTTTTATTTATCCCCTTCTCCCTATAATTTCTTGTCTTGCCTGATGGATTTGCTTTGTTGAGCCTCATGGAGTGATCTTCAATGTCTTTTTCTAGGATATTGTTTAGAATTGTTTGGAGTGCTGGTTTGGTATTCATGAAGTTTCTCAGGTGTTCTTTGTCATGGAAGCATCTTATTTCCCCATCAATTTGGCAAGAGAGTTTTGCAGGTTACATCACTCTAGGTTGGAAGTTATTTCTTTTAGGGCTTGAAATACCTCACTCCAGGTTCTCCTTGACTTGAGGGTTTGTGTTGAAAAGTCCACTGTGATTCTGATGGGCTTTCCTCTTCATGTGATTTATTTCTTTTCTGTAACTGCTTTCATTATTTTCTTCTTCTGTTGGGTTTCTGGAATCTTGACTATTATATGTCTAGGTGTAGATATTTTGTGATCATGGCTAATTGGATTCCTATATGCCTCATTTATCTGTATGTCAAGTTCTTTGGCTCTGTTTGGGAAGTTTTCTGTCATTAATTCTGTGAACAGTTTTTTAAAATGTCATTTGCTCTTTCTTATGCTTTTTCATGGACTCCTATTAATCTTATATTATTATTTTTTGCTTCTTCTAGGAGCTGTTGGATTGATTTGTCATGGTCCCTTACTATTTTTAAGAGATCTCTCTTTTCATGGTCACTGACTGCCATCCTGTCTTCTGTGTCTGATATACTGTCTTCCAATTGGCTCAGGCTGCTGTGTATACTTTCAGTGGAGTATCTCCTGGATATCAGTTTTAATCTGTTTGAAGGATTCCACTTTTTTCCTATATTAAATGTTCATGGTTTCCATTTCTTACCTATACTGAGCATTCATGGCTTCCATCATAGTCCTGAACTCATCTATTTTTTTTATCTGTTTCTCTTCTAGAGACTCTAATCATGTCTTTTATTCTTCTCACCATCTCTGTAGTTTTCTGGGAAATTATTTCTGGTTTGAATTTTTCTAGAGCCTCATTTATCTGTTTTGTTACTTCCTGTGCTATTAGTTCAGGGTGTCCAGGTGGTTGATTATCACACTTTTCCACATTGATTTCTCTAGAATTTGCCTTTGGTAAGCTGTAAGACTGGGTTTGTGTCTTGCTTAAATGTCTTTTCATTTTTATTATTGTTGTTGGTACAGTCCTTGGTTTAATTCCTGGGTTGATACTTTGATATTGATTATTGTAAGAATCTTTGTTGCTTGTATTTAGAACCCTTATGGAATGATTGCTTCTCAGAGGTGTCTTCCAGACATAGCTGGTCTTAAGGTTTTGATTCTCTAGTGGCTGTGGGGCAATCTCATTTTCATTAAAGATAACTGACTAGATCAATCACAACACTAGCCCAAGTGACATAATCAGCAACAATAGAATCAAGCACAGCTTAGAAGATAACAATTTGTGGTAGTTATTAATCTATCATCTCTATCACCTTTAACCATATGAAATAAATAAAAATCAAGGACTAGCCCAAAATATGTTAATAGTGTATAAACTGTTCAATATAGTAACTGTACCCTTCGGGATGGAGACTTAGTAGGTGTAAGGCCCTCTTATTGATCTTCACTTACGCTCTATCTTTAAGACCCCCTGCACCACTGCAGTGTGGATCCAGGCACAGGCGCAGCCAGGAGGCCAGAAGTGGGAGGTGGGAGTGGGGGGCAACCCTGGGTGGTACTGGGGCACCCACATGGCTCTGGTCCTCACTGGTCCCCTGGAAGCTGGAAGGTGGGGGAAGGGGGTGGGGCCACACTGGTGGCTTAAACTGCTCTTCCCCAGGGAATTCCAATGCAACCTATGGGAAACCACTGTCTCAAAGAGTTGGAACTAAAAATCTCAAGCAATGATTTGTGATTTGGTCTGCTTGATGTAAGACAAGGACAAACTAATTGAACAAATTATCTGGATGAAGTAGAGGCATTTGTCCCCTCAAGTAAACCAGAACATTACCAGTGTTCAGCTCTGTCCTCAGCCAGTGGCTTCCAGTTCCTTACTGTGGCAACATGGAGCTCCACACAGAGTTCTGTATGTGCAACAGCCAGTTGGCATATCTAACAAATGGGAAATGACTTAGGTCACCAAAACAAAGCAAACTGCCATTCTAGCTGGATGAAATGGCTTTAGGATGAGAAAATATACCATGTATGGGTGACATTTTCAAATACTAAAAATAGGTCATGCATACTCAGTCACTTCTCTCTTGTCATGAACCCCTTTCTGGAAATGGCTTTTCTGAGGAAAAAAAAGTGAAAGGCACAGCCTCCCCATAAGAAAGACAAGATTTGATAAAGAGAACATAATTTATTCCAAAAGATAAGAAGGGAATAATATAAGATTCTGCTTAATCAAGGGCCAGATGTGAAGAGAGGGATTTGGTGGGATCTGGTCTGCATAATCATGCCAGCCTTGCAGAGACAGCTGGCTTGCAGTTGAGTAGCTTCTCACAGTCTTTGTTTTAAATGTCTCTTTACAGCAGCATGCTGGAGCCTGGAGGATAACCATTTTTATTGGCTGATGTATTGGAGGAAATTTTTTGAAAGCCTGATTTAAGCCATAAATCAATGGGTTAGAAATTTCTATATAAATCCACTTACAGAAGCAATTATAATTCACCCTCTCCCTCTGCCTGTACCAAGATAATTTTTCACCCCAGGAATCCCATTGTAAATTGTCCTGCAGACGTCGCTTTCTAAATAGTTCGTCGCATGCAATGGAGAGGACACTCATTGGTTACAGCCGGCGTCATTTCAACATGTCACACTGGAGAAAACTTTTATCTTAATGTAATGGGAACATTAATGTTTAGAAAATAAACCTCTGAGCT